GGGGGGGCGGCTGAAACCTCTAAACTAAATTTGTAATTTTTATTTCCTAATTTGCTATTTCGCAAATTATAATTGTTATAACTGTTAAATTGTCGTTGTATGATAAATGATGGGCACCTATCTGAAGGAAAAAAAAACGGCATTCGATTTTCCGACTATAGGATCGCGTATGCCAAACTGTGCAATTATTGGAAAATTGGACAGATCAATCAATTATTGCTGCCATTCTGCAGATCAGATACGAAAATCTTACAGGAATGGCACAAGTGTGCAGTCCATAATCCACACTAAGGCAAGCGGTAGCGGAGGTGGCAGCCTGTTTTCTCTGGTCTTTCCCGTCCTTACCCCGTGCTGGTCTTTACAACAGTGTTACGTGCTCTTTTCGCCTTCCTTCACGTTTCAGTCTTCATTAGAAAAGCTAACAAATTCCAAAAAACCCAACCTATTTCATTACAATGGTATTTCTTTCAGTCAAACCCCTGATTCTAGGAGTAGGTAAGATCAAACCCCTAGTCTTTTCGGACAAGGGCGAAAAAAATCTCCGAGGTCCCGTGTGCAAATTGCGCTTGCGCTCGCTAAACATCCCTTGGTGGTCCTACAATCAATAAGAGTAGGCTAGGCTTCAGCTGCCAACCAGGCAAAATTCAAAATTAATTCCCACCAAACGGAAAATGCATAATGTGTCCCGAGCGCTCATAAAACCTTATGCAGTTTCGAGCGCTGTAAAACACCTACCAAAACAAAAACAAAACATTGGTTATAACTTTAATCAAAGAGTGTGAGTCAGAAAGGTTTTGGTGGATACCACACTACGGAGACGTCTCCGACGGAGATAGACCAATCAAAATGTTTTGTGCCTCTAGACCAAGTAAAAAAAATCTGGGGGGTTACAGGGGACATGCCCCCCCCCCCCTTTTTTTTTAAAACCCATAATTTGATATTTTGCTGTTAGGTGTGAAATTTTCTTGAAAATAATTTATTTGCGACGGTGTTACTGGCTAAACGTGTGATCTGCAACAAACAATACGCAGTTTGACCCCCCCTCCCCCCACCCCCAGAGCAGTGCATCTGTGTGCGGGAGTACGTCACCGAATACATGTACATGTAGTTCCTGGGTGTTCGCCGGAGACGTCTCCGAATATCTTCTGCCGCAGCCACAGACCCGAGTTGCTTTTTAAAATTACTTTTGAATTTTGAACTTTTGCTTTAGTTTTGCTTTGGTTTGTTTGGGAGTTTTTTCGTGGTTTTTAAAATTTCTCTTTTATTTTTATTTAATTTATTTATTTATAAATTGTAAAAAATGTTTTTGGCTTTATCTAAAGCTGTATCCTTCTTTTATATTTTTTCTACTAGATCTAGTTACCTACCACAACTACACCGTGTTATCTGTTGCTTTTTTCTACCCCACAGAACACAGAACTCCTAGACCTATGTTCCATTGAGTAAAACGTCTCGGACTTACTCACAACGTTTTCCAACCGTCCTCTCGTCACAGCTGAATTCATTGATATAGTGATTAAAAGGATGACATTACGAAGATGTTCCTGAGCCTTGGAGTCAAATAATACAGTATCAGATGTGTGCGTGTGTGCATGTGTGCGTGTGTGCGTGTGTGTGTAAAACTTAATGTGTCTTCTAATGGATGTCTGGTTTAAAGTGAAACCTGTCGGACCTATTTCGTCATAGATATTATTGTCCTTCTATCATGACTTTGTAGCAGCTGGGAAACAAATACCAAACCCAAAGTGGAGCTTGAGGAAGAAAGAAGGAACTATTCGTTGTCGATGTTCCTTCTATCCTAAAGGAACGAACTTGATTTTCTGAGACGTTACAAGGGCTATTGAACATCACATTTTGGGACGTGTAGGATATCACAATGCAAGGTAAGTTGTGTCTCATGATTTTTGTATTGATATTCTTTCTGTTCATACTTTAAGGTTATTCAGGTGAAGCTATTAAGAAAGAAAGAAAGAAATAGAGAGAGAGAGAGAGGGAGAGAGAGAGAGAGAGA